AAGGTGGGGCTAGGATTTTCAAAGGGAGATAAGGAGAGTAGATAAGGAAAAGCCATTGAATGGAATATAGCCTCAGGTAACCCATCTGAGACCAGAGTGAGGTAAAAAAAAAAAGTTTAAGGGTTTTTTGGGACTCATGGACAAATGGGAACCAAATTCTTTTTGGGGCAAGGAGCAAAGGTCTCTGCTTGGGCCCATACCCCATCAGTCAGTTTAATAAATCAGTTTAAGCTGCATTGTGAGCTCTGACTCCCAGGACAGTTAGCTCTTGAGAAAACTAAATTATCAGTATATTCATTACACATGCATCAATATGAAAATTATAAACTCCTTTTTCAGGCTCAGAGTATATTGAGAAATATAGAAAAATTATTTTAAAGGAAATTCAATCTTGAATCCCTAACAGGAGTACATAGAACTAGTGATTTTTTTTTTAACCTAAATTGGGTGACTTGTCAGCATGGTCTGCCTAGGACTTTGGATGGATTCTCAAAAACAGAGCCAGGAAACAGGGAAAACAATGATTTGGTTCTGTGTGAATGAAGAGACACATTGTTTCATCTTTCACAGGGCTACCAGAGAATTGAGGGGGCATTGATTCATCTGATTTCTTCTTAGGTGGATAAAATGGATAAAACACTTTCAAATCTCCAGAAACTAATGAAATCTGAGATTAGATTGATTGTTTGTGTTGGTTGGGAGCTCTGTAGGGTCTTCATCGAGACCTGAGCATCAGGTTCTAGGTGAAAGGAGGACTGGGACAACACAAAGCATAGCACAAAGAAAAAATGCATAGAGGAAGTATTTAATTAATGATCAAGTGACAGAATTGACTGAATTTGTAATTTTAACAAATGTAGAGGAATATTTTTCAAAAATCATCTAGTAGTGTAACAGCTTAAATCCAAACATTAAGCTACTTTCACAATATGTTCAATACAGCCATTTTCTTCCTATCACCCTCTAAAGTAAGCAGTACAAAGATATAAGCAAAATAGAGGTTAAGTGATTTGACCAGTACCTCAGAGCTAATACTTGTTTGAGGCTAGATTTGAACTTAGGTGTTCCTGACTCCAGACTCAGGTACTCTCTATTGTGTTACCTACACCCATTTTCAAATCAAATTACCAATATATTGCCTATTATGGGCATACTAGTGCAAGGGATGGAGATTAACATTTCTGTCTTCATAGAATTAATTTAACAGCAGAAAATCAGGGCTCAGAGCTTAATCTTGATTACACAATCAACTCATTTTTGGCTTTGGGGGTTGAATTTAGGCCTCTCTTACCTTCAAGTTCTGGTCTTTTGTTTGCTAAAGGCAAGGCTGCATCAAGCAAGTCAGTGTAAATTCTGATCTAGTCAATAATCACCAACATTTATTATCAAATAGGTGCTATTGTTATCCCCATTTTCCAGATGATGAAACTGAAGCCCAGAAAAGTTGAGTGACTTCCTCAGGGTCACACAGTCAATAGGTGTCTGAGGTCAAATTTGAACTCGGGTGTTCCTGCATACAAACCCAAAGCTTTTTATCTACTGGATCACCCAGTTACTCCTCTTCCCCATTCTCCTTCCCCTCCCTCTCCTCTTATGACTATCCTGGGGACTAATCACCTGAGGGTATTCTGCCCAAAGGAAGGTAAATTTTGATGACTGAAACCTACCCAAAGGATCTTGGAGTGTACTGGCTAGATTTCTCTATTTTATGCATTTATTTTTAAAAAATTTTTAGTTTTAGTTTTCAACATTCACTTCCATAAACTTGGATTTTCAAATTTCTCTCCTCAAGCAGGGGGATGATAGAGACAAGGGCATATTGGGAAAAGGGTAATCAGAAGGAAGTACTTCTGAGGAGGGACAGGGTCAAAAGAAAGAATAGAATAAATGGGGGGGCAGGATAGGATTAAGGGAAATAGAGTTAGTTTTTCACAACATGTCTACTATTGAAGTGTTTTGCATAAGTTCACATGTATGGCCTGTATTGACTTGCTTGTCTTTTCAATGAGGGGGGGTGGGGTAGAAGGAAGGGAGGGAGGAAATTTGGAACCCAAAGTTTTAAAAACACATGCTTAAAAAGTTTCCACACGCAACTGGGAAATAAAAAATACAGGAAATGAAGTACAGAAATCTATCCTGCCCTACAGGAAAATAGAAGGGGAAGGAGATAAGAGAAGTGGGGGGGGAGAGATAGAAGGGAGGGCAGACTAGAGGAAGGGGTATTAAGCATGTATGCCATCTTGGGTTGGGGGGAGGGGCAAGATGGGGTGAAAATTTGGAATTCAAAATCTTGTAGAAGTAAATGTTGAAAACTAAAAATAAATAAATTTATATTAAAAAAAATTCTCTTCTCCCTTTCTTTCCCTCCTCCCTCCCCCAAAAGTCATGAAATCAGAAATAGGCTCTACATATACATTAGTCATGTTATAAAGAAGAATTATAACCAATGGGAGGAACTACAAGAAAAAAGAAACAGCAACAACAAAAAGAGATCAAATAACATACTTCAATCTGCATTCAGACTCCATAGTTCTTTCTCTGGATGTGGACAGCATTTTCCATTCTGAGTCTTTTGGAGTTGTCTTAGATCTTTGCATTTCTGGAGAAGGGCAAAGTCTATCAAAAGTAGTCAACACACAACCTGGCACAGCCCTTCCTCACGCAAATCCAATTCATTTACAAGTCGTGACATCTCCGTGATGTCATAGTCCTCTTCAAGAACCAAGGACAAACCATATACCCACACACAAGGGAGCAAATACAGGTAAATCTTGGATTGTGAAAATGAGTGAATATTTAGTAATTGTATGTTATCAGGTTCGCTTCTCCAAGAGTTAAGTTCTTAATTGCAGCAATCAGATTATATTTTTTTGGGGGAAAAAACTTTCTACTGCTAATGGTCACAGTTTGGGGAGCTGAGCTTTATAGAATGAGAATTCTTCCCTGGTTGGACTAAGGCATAGTTTATCTATTTAAACAAGTGTTTTGGAGAAATAAAGCTGACATTGAATCAACTCCCACATACATCTAAAAACTGATTTGTCTCCTTCCAGGGGATTCAAGATCAGGAGTTAACTTTTTTATATGTGTCATTGACCTATCTTGACAGTTGGTTTAAAACTACTGGCATCTTTTCAGAATAATATGGTTAAATGCCTAGAATAAAATAGGTGGAAAACCACTCCAATCTTTACCAAGAACCCCCCCCCAAAAAAAAGGGGTCACAAGAGTCACATCAACAAAAAAATGACCAAACAAAAATGCCATTTTCTCATCCAAGATCAGATCCCTTCGAATCTAGCCATTGATCTTTTGAGGGTCTATGTATGCAGAACCCAAGCTCTAGATTTAAAATCCTATCACTGACCAAATATGAAAGTGATATAAATGAGTGAACTTCACAAGAAGTGAAGTTTATTAAATACAACAGATTCAAAACCACACATACAGAAATACTGCAACCTCAAATGCATGACCATTTTGCACATACTGTTTTTTGACTGGAGGTAAAGAGGCTTAGATTAGTCATCTCTCAAATTGAAACCACTCAAAACGCTGATCGTTCTTGTGCATCCTTCATTGTCCACAATTCTAGCCTGGTACCAGAAGTTTATGAATCCTTTTGCACAGAGGGCCTCAGCTTGAACATTGCCTGTTGTATAAACAACTGATGTGTTTCCCAAGTAATCAGTTGTAAATGTGACAGTCCTCTTTTTATCCTCAGACAAGTCGTAGTAATTGCAGTTCTCCAACAGTTTAAATCCTATAGGGAAGGAAAGATATCAGTTCAAAACAATGGGATTTCAGTCCTGAGTGACAGGAAGGCTTTGGATATTTGGGATCTTCAAAGCAGGAAGAGTCTGTAAATAACTGTGTTATGGTTAGGGAAAGGGACAGCATTCCTAGACAAGGCCAAAACCTCTTTTTCAAGCATTTCAATTTTTACTGAAATTGACCTTCTCATCCTCTATCTGCTCCCAGGTAATGACCCCCTGTCTTTTTTAGCCAAAAGTTACTTTCCCATCCTCTGAGAAGTCCAACTTTTTCCAGCTCTCCTGACTTGGGCAAAGAATGAAAAGCCACCTTGCCATTAACTAAGCACCATCCTAGGGGATAAACACTGTTAGTTAATTAAGGGACCAGTATAATTAGCAAGGGCTGCTGGTGGTATAGTGGATAAAGTATGATAATTCCTTAGTAAAGGGCCCCTTTGGGGCACTAAGAAATCTTCTATCTCAGTATATTTCCAGTTTCCTTCCATCCTCCATGAAGGAATGAAAAAAGCCCTTGTTATGCACTTACTATATGCCAAGCACCATACTCAGATCTCCTAATGCCTCCAACCCACACCAGGAGGGGACTTCTGCTTGTTCCTATAGACTCTGCCTTTGAGCAAAATCATACCCCAGGGTACCTGCATGACTACTCCAAATAGAGGTCTGACTGATCAAATGAAACCAGGTGGCACTAGCAGGGCAGAGCTCTCAATGACCCCTAGTAAGTTTGCTGTCTCCCTCCCCCCAGCTCCCCTTGTTCTGCTCTCAGTACTCTACCCTGGACCAGGCACACTATTCTATTTTATGCCATATTCTAGGCAAATGTTTCTCTCTATACTAGGAGTCATTTCCAAGGTAAAGTTCACAAGGACATTATTGCCTAAATGGCAGAAGTACTCAAATACCATGCTTCCAACAGGACTCTTGTGAGAAAAGTCCAAATAAAGATACCTGCCCAAAGGACTGACACTTACTGTGAAAGAATTTTAAAAAGTCAACTGCTGCAAAGAGATAAGAAATATCCAAAATTGGAACAAAATGTCTCAAAGCAGGTGCTCCAAAATCCCTACAGAAAAGAGAAACCAATTACAAACAATACCGGTTGTGCCTTTCATTGTACTAAAAGCCAAACTTCCTATACTGATTTTGAGCAAATACACAAGCTCCTTCTCCCAAACCCCCTTCCCACCACTCCCTAATTTAAACTATGTAATTATTTGATATCTAAATAGAAACATACCTTTCCATTGTTTCTGTCACAGCCTAGGGGAAAAAAAGAACAAAGTCAGTGTAGTTCATGAATGCTTTCCCCTAGGGCTTGGCCATGCCACCAACCTTTAAAAGCCATGGCATTCCAATAGGGTCATCACTATTCTTTCCTCTTATTTTTCCTATTTCAACTCGGGAAAGCTGGATTTCGGACACAAACTTTTTGCCCATGCTAGGAGGGGTTTGAGAATTTCCTATGCTGTGCTACCAGAAAGGTGGTCAAGCAAGAGGTCTCTGCTTCCTACATGTTTCTCTAGACACTGCTGCTTGTATGTGAGAGGGGAAGGGGACCTGAGCATCAACTCTTTGTCATATTATTTAACCCATCTGAAGCTGTCTTGTGTCTGACCTGATCAAAAGTGAACCTGTGCTAGAACACTGTTAGTGTCCCTCTTGTGTTCTCCTGCCTAACAAATGGTGTTACCTGTGTGTTAACCTGTGAAACAAGCACACAGCCATCCCTCCCTGCTCTTAGACCAAACTCTTTGGAGGCAGACATTTGCCTAGAATATGTCAGAGGTTAGAATAGTGTGCCTGGCCCAAGGTAAGAGTGCTGGGATCAGTACAAGCAGAAAAGTAATCCAAGGTAGCAGTAAACCCAAGAAGAGTCATTGAAAGGGCGCACAATCCAGCCTTCAAAAATTAAAGAAAATTGTTTTAAATTTTTTTTTAAAAAATGTAATTGAGAGATCTGTCCCACTGGTGTTGCCGGGGCTACATTAGATCAGGGTGACCCCTCTTCCTGTTTTCCCTAGGAAGCACAAGGGCATACGTAGTGCGGAAGGTTATAAAAGAAATCCTGGGAAGGGGCATGAAAGAGGTCATCAATTTCTTGTCCCCATATACAGCTGGCCCTGAGGAAGTGGCACTGATCTCACCTGTAACATCTGCAGGTCTGGTTTCTGACTTTTTTCCTGCAGCTCAGTGATCAAGTCTGTTAAGAATCCCCTTTGGCTGGACATCATGGCCTCCCACTCCTTCTTTTGTTTCAGGATTTTACATTCCTGGATGGCCTCTTTCTCCTTTAGCCTCTGATAAAGCTCATTCAATTTCTTCTTTATCCTCTCTAGAACAAGTTCTTCCTTTTTTGGTTTCTTCTCCTTAGCCTTCATGTATTTAGATACCACCTGACCTTTTTTCCCATATGTTTTTCTGGGCATATCTTTGTAGTCCTGCAGAGAAAGATGTAAAGTGATATATTATGGCCTCACCAAAGCTCCCTTTCCCATCTGCTATTATTAAAGAAACTGAGGTAAGCAGGGTTAAGTGACTTCCTTCTCCAGGGTCACACAGCTAGTGTCTAAAGCCAGATTTGAAATCAGGAAGATGTCTTCTGTTTTGATATGGAGATAGAGATAAATGGATATAGAAATAGATATGGATATAAAAATTAAATAAAATAAAAACAAAAACTGCAAATGAGGTCACGAAAGAATGGGACACAACCAAAAATTCAACAACAACAGAATAGTCATTAGTGGCATGAATAAGGGCAAATGACAAAATGTGAACCTTAGTTTACTCACCTTCCAAATATAGCTAATAATGGTGGGAAGCTTGTTATGGGGGAAAAAAAACACAAGAATTTACATATGAGACAGATACTTACAATGCATTTGATGATCCATGAAATCGGTCTTTCTTTCTCTTTAAGTAGAAGTTCCTGAATTTTTTTTAACCGGTTGTTCAAGATTACCAGATATAACTTTATTTGTTTCTGTAGGAGAAGTGAATAAACACAGTCAGGAAATCTGTGTTCTAAGCCTGAGGCCCATGAAATGTATGCAGCTGCAAAACCCAAAGGACACAGACAGGTCAGTACTGTTTGATTGACCTGTAGGGTAGAGTCACAGCAGGAAGGGGAGAAGCTGCTTGACAGCAGGGCCGTTGCAGACCCCACCCCCCCACCCAAGGCATAGACTAATGTGGAAACTAAACTGAGCATGGAGGAGCTACTGCCAAGGAATACCTCAAACCACCTGGTGGATTTCTCTTGACCCTTACATGACTCACCCTGTAGCGAAGAGCAGCCACTGTAATGGGCCAGTGTATGTGATGTCTGTGCTCCTGTGATCTAGAGCAGGTCACACAGAGTAGGGTCTTGTTGCTATGACAGAACTGCTTCTGTTCTTCAAGGTGTATCTCACACATGCCTTCTCCTTCAGGGTACATGACAATGTCATCTTGAAGAGTTTTCAGCTGGGAGTATTCCCAGCATGAAGTGCAGCATGAAGATGAAGAGGATTTCTTCCAGAAGCAAGTCATACAAATAGTGTGTCCACAATCAAGGGTAATTGGCTTAGTGGTTTCATCCCAGCAGTTAACACAGCTGACAAACTCTTCAACATCACCACCCAACATTCTAAAAAGAGACAATGATGCAGGCTAAGGGTGTTTCTTTGGCTGGCTAGCCGCCCCCCACCTTCAAAACACATTTTTTGAGGGGTAGCTAGGTGGTGTAGTGGATTGAGCTCCAGCCTTGGAGTCAGGAGGACCCAGAATTCAAATCCGACTTCAGACACTTGACAGTAGCTGTATGACCCTGGGCAAGTCATTTAACCCCATTTCCTACCCCCCCCCCAAAAAAAACCAAACAAACAAACAAAACACATTTTTTTGAAACATAGCAAAGTAATCCTTGGGTTCCCTACCACAACCTTGGGCCAAACTCCCAAAAATGTACACACCATCATTAGGAAGAATGGTACAAGTATCAGACACTTTGTAATATCTACCACTTAATATTGCTTGATGCACACTAGGGAACCCCAGGGTGAAAAATTAAGTGACTTACCTGGGGTTGGACAGCTGGTTAAATTATTAAATAGAATTCAAACTCAGAACCTCCTGATTCCCAGTCTTACACTCTATACATTGTGACCATATATTGTGATTACACATAGTGACCACCTAGTACTTACATGTGGAAGTCATCTAGACTAGAAGCCTCTTCCTTAGCTAAATGCAAATACCTTTATTTCCCTACACCACAGGAAAGTCTCTAAAACTATAGTTGGTAGAACTGTTTTCAGTCTGCATCAGTAAAGGATAGGTAATAACCTATTCCCTTCATAGAAGAAATCATAGGTTCAGACCAAAAACAAAAACCAAAACAATCAAAATGCACTCAGTGAATTGAAATTTTAAAAAAATGAACCTTCTGACATGAACTTTTGAAAGGGTAATTATTGGGGCAGCTAGGTGGCGCAGTGGATAGAGTTCTGGCCTTGGAGTCAGGAGGACCTGAGTTCAAATCCAGCCTCAGACACTTGACACTTACTAGCTGTGTGACCCTGGCAAGTCACTTAACCCCAATTGCCTCAACCAAAAAAAAAATAGTGTAATTATTGACCTAGCTGTCTTTATTAAACCATCATCTACGCTTACACATTTAGAGTCCCAAGCTCTTGACATAGGTTAATTGGAGGCAAAGCTGCTAGAGCTTTAAAAAAAAAAATGTATACCAGGGGTTGAACTGTACAAATTAGGAGACAACCTTTCTCTTTTCTTCTTCTTCTGTATTTTGTTGCATTAATTCATTGACTAGCCACTGACAATAAGCCAGTACGAGCCAGACAGGTTTTACTGCAGTTTTTCAGAGCATGGCATACTGCACCAGCAGTTGATAGAAATGTGTCACATTTCAGCTGGTGGTGTTTATATATTACATGAAACAAAAAAAGATGGCAGCTTGTACTAACAGTTAAAGTATTAACAGTTAAAGAAAATATCATTAGTTATAGAAGACTGAGAAGTGATATATTCTTGTTCACATAACCAGCTGCACTAAATCATAACTTGCCTATGATCACACTAGTGTTCATCACTGTCTCTGAATATTCTTGATTTTAATTTAAAAAAAAAACATGTTACGAAGAATATGATACAGGATTTGGAGTCAATGTCTTGGCTCAACTTCTAGTTCTGCCAGTTTCTAACTGTCTGACTTTGGCCAAGTCTGCAGCTCTGTCTTGGCCTCAGTTTCTCCATCTGTAAAATGAAATAGGAGGGCAGACAGGTGGTACAGGGGCCAGAGGACCAGGCCTGATGTCAGGAAGATTCATTTTCCCAAGTTCAATTCTTGCCTCAGACACTTCCTAGTGTGAACTATTTTGTGAGAAAGGCCTAAAACCTGGATTAGGCCAATCAGGAGACAGACATATTTTGGACCACTCTGAGCCTAACCTACCATAATGTCTTGGTGTCCTCTGGCATAACAGATATGCTTTGCTTTCTGAGTGAACCCAACTTCCTTTGTCAGCAACTACAAGGCCAGATGAAGGCGATGGGGAGCATTGTTCTCTTTATGACTGTCCAGGGAAAGACACCTTGGGAACACTTATCTTGAATAATGGGAATTTTCTTATCTTGTATTCTATGGACACATGTTATGCTAAATATACTGTCAAATTAATGATAAAAGAAACACAGACATCCTGGGTCTATAGTTTCAACTGACACTTTGACATTTGTAATCTTATTATCGTTAACACATAAGGAAACTAATTTTAGTTGACATAGGCATCCTGAGTTGGGACTGCTCTGAGACTCTCTGAAAGTGTCTCCTTCAGCTTTACACCCGAGTTCAGGATTATTTTCTGACTCTATGGATGCATGGTTCCCTGGTTTAATAAGCACATTATAGCCCATGTACAGCCTGATTTTGTTCGTTCCTTTATCAAACCTTTGGTAAGGTGAACCCCACTCTTGTGTGTTCTTTGGACAAACCTTCAGTTAAGGGGGAAACTGATTGTTTGTTTCTTTGGACCAAACTTTTGGTAAATGGCTGACACTATGTGACCCTGGGCAAGTCACTTAATCCTGTTTGCCTCAGTTTTCTCATCTGTAAAATGATCTGGAGAAGGAAATGGCAAACCATTCTAATATCTCTGCCAAGAAAACCCCAAATGGAATCAGGGAAGAGTCAGACATGACTGAAAAAAATGACTGAACTGAAAATGATATAATGGGACTAAATAATCCACAAGGCTCCCAGCCAGCTCTAAATCCTTGATCTTTAATAACAAAACAACAACAAAAGCTATTTCCCCAAAGAGAAACTTACCTTTGAAAAACCATCCTCCTCTGGATTTCAGATACAAACATTTTGGCTCAGAGCAAGCACATAACAAACTGAGTTAGGGCTGGTTTTTACATGATTTTCCCAGACACTTCCCCACCCTGATAATCTGGATGGAACACCAGAATGAATCAGTAAGTAAAACTGTTTAAAAAAAAAGTAGTAAAAAGTATTTCATACCTGCTAAGAAAATCCTTTTTTTGGTTTTGTCAGCCACTGAGACCTCTTCTAGTTTCTCATTCCCCTTCTTTTCCCCCTTCTTTTCCCCTTATACCCCACAGCTGCTGAATTAGAGGAGTTCACTCCAATCAATCAGTCAATTAGCATTTGTTTAGTGAGTACTCAGGGCTAGGCTTCCCAGCAAATCAAAACCAAGGAAGACAAAAATATTCACCTGCTCCACAAGCTCTCATTCAAATTCGAGAGCTTGAAAACAACTAGGTATTCACAAAAATCCCTCGAGGGGCCCTAGCCTGAAGGATTGTGGAGTGGGCTGGGGTTGGGGTGGGGCGGGGATGGGAATGGGAAATGACTAGTACTACAGAAGATAGGATTTAAGCTTAAAGTTTTGCTTCTAGGAAATTGAGAGGTAATTGACTCAAATAATAAATTAATCCACAGGTAGATCCTTAGTACCTAGTAAAAGTAAGATCCTTTGCTCTTCTTAAAATAAAGAGATTTTTGGTTTATGTTCTCATAACCCTTCAAGCCTGGCACTAAGACAACAATGCTTATATAAACAAACTGAGGAACAACCTTATGTTTTCCTTATTGTTGTTGTCAGCCTGGTATAGTGAAATGTGTCCATAGAAAACAAACTCCAAAACCTAAAAAGGTTTTTTAAAAGCATTTTATTGTAATTTTGACAAGAGGGGAGAGAGCCAGAAAAGGTGTGGCCAACTCCCTCTGAATCTCTATGGTATCACATTATATAAAGTTCAAACAAGGATACAATCACAAAGATCACGGCATGTAGGCAGTCTGTTTGTGGTGTATATGTATAGGCTAAATAAACATTCAATATAATTTGGGCCAAAAGGAACTGCTGGTCAAAAAGAAGTGTTTTAGATGGACTCAAGACCGGGATGGTGTTGAGGTTTAGAGTTGGGAGAGCTGGTTCAGGTGTGAAAGAATTCACTTAGACCTTCCCTGTGACCATTGGGAGCTTTATTGACGCAAAAGCAGCTGGCTAGCCCTGGAAAGAGGACTAGCAACATACAGAGGGATAAGGGATCTGTTTTATCTTACAAGAATGGAGCAGTGGGGGGGGAAGGGGCACTGACAGAACTCAGAACTGTCATGACACAGGATGAGGAAGATGGATGACAGGATAGGGGACCCAGGATAAGGAAGACAGGGGAAATTTTATGACTCAAGATGAGGGAGATAAGGAATATTTATGGTTCAGGAGAGGGGGAGAAGTTTTCTGGTATCTCAAGATAAGGGAAAGGGACTCTAGGATACCCTCAAGTTCAGGAGGGGCCTCACAAGGTACTGAAAGAACAACAATTAGTTAAAATTTGTTTCTTTAAAAAGCTTTTAGCTTTCAGGGCACTGTTTGCTTTTATATCGATGGGGCTGCTAAGTGGTACAATGGATAGAGGGCCTAGTCTGGAGTCAGGAAGACCTGAGTTCAAAATAGCCTCAGACACTTACTAACTGTGTGACCCTGGGTTAGTCATTTAACCCCTCATCTATAAAATGAGCTGGAGAAGAAAATGGCAAATTTACTCCAGTATCTTTGCCAAGAAAATCCCAAATGGGATGACAGGAGAATCAATCTTACAAGACTGAAACCACCAAACAACAACAAAAGACCTGGATGGGTGGAATGTTTTGGATGGACCCTAAAACATAGGTGGACCCAAGAGAAGACTACGTGGGATCTAAGCATTCCTTGGAGAGATGGCTGGCTCCCTTTGAGGGTCCCTGAGATCAACATCACCTAGAGTAAACTTTGAGCTAGACAATTTCTAAGGAGGCTAGGTCCAAATAATATACTAATTAATAAGATTTTGCAAACAGTTTGATAAGGGTTTTCCCACAAATTGCCCTCTCTGAGGCTTATTAAAGCCCAAGTACTCAAACAAGCAGAAACTCAATTACCAAAACAGAGCCCTGGTAGGTAGGGTTAAGGTTTCAAAGGAAATTACTGAAAATAACCCTAGGTAATGAAGGCATCCTCCTCTCTCCCTATTTTGTCTAAAGCTCAATAGAATTCTTTTCTGCAGGAGAAGGGGCTAGGTGGGTTACAAATTTCTCCCAAACTTGAATGGTTCTT